TCGTATCATTTTTTTGTCAAAGCCAGTTACTGTACTCTCAAAATGACAATCATCAATGTATCTACTCAGCCTATATTCTCAGTACTCTGAAAAGTATGCCTTTTTTGACGAGATCTTCAGTTTTGTATAATGGCATTATAGTAAACTGCTTTATACTGCGCAGATACACACAATGCAATCAATAGTACTGATCCATCAGTAATCATGAAATTCAATATAAAATTATAAATGCTGGTTTGGTTACACAATAAAAACAAAACATGTGTTTCTTGCGTGTAATGGTGTTTTGTTTTAAAATCTCCATTCTATTTTGTGCACAGCAATTAAGAATGCTTTGCACATTGTTCCATTATCAGTCAAAATTTTGGATGACTTGTATTTTCCATACAAACACTAGAAACAGAATGTGTTTGATCTTTGGTTAGAGGTACTTTTGGGGCCAAGATCTTTAGGGAGGTCGTGGTGAAAAGAGAGGAGTCAGTGACAGTTCAACAGAAAGCGAGTAATGCATTCATTGTGTTTGTATGTTTTGATTGTCAATCTAGGCATGATATTGAAAGAAAAGTAATGCCTGACATTTAAATTTTTTGGCTAGCCAAATAGAATTTGCCTTAATTTGGCGACAAATTAAGTAAGAGATGTATACATATTACTGAGAATATTACTAGCATAAATTATTGTTGCTCACTATCTTTCAATGATGGCTTGCTTTGGCCATACGTACCTATTATTTCAAGCCCAGCATAAATTAATATACCTTTGTAATCACATTCACTCATTGCACTTTGTATAAATATATAAATAAGTTTGAAAATTTGTAATCCAGGCATTGAATACATAAAAGATAAAAGTTTCTCCGGATTTTAAATGATTTTTATTGAGCTTTCGACTCGTTGCTTCGAGCCTTCATCAGAATGAGGAAATATTATTTACACAAGTCGAAAGCTCAATAAAATCCTTTTATACACTCCGGAGAATCTTTTATTTTTATACATTAAATATGCCTGAATTACCAATCTTTAAACTTATATATATATATCTTTCATTGTTTTCCTCCTTTCACATTTAGATCTGCTGTGAAAGTTATAAAATTTAGAAACTACCAACCAATCACATTAATTCACCTACTTATCCAATTAGACGCTCTAAACGTCTCCAAGCTAAAAGCACGTGTAAATAAATATCCTCATTCTGATGAAGGCTCGAAGCAACGAGTCGAAAACTCAATAAAAATCATTTAAAATCCGGAGAAACTTTTATCTTTTAAATATATAAATATATAAATATATAAATATATAAATATATAAAATGATTTTATTGAGCTTTCGACTTGTTGCTTTGAGCCCTCATCAGAATGAGGAAATATTATTTACACAAGTCGAAAGCTCAATAAAATCATTTAATACAATCCGGAGAATCTTTTATTTTTATACATTAAATATGCCTGGATTACCAATCTTTAAACTTATATATATATATATCTTTCATTGATTTCCTCCTTTCACATTTAGATCTGCTGTGAAAGAGCGTGTTCCAAGGATTGGAAATATGTTTTTATTATCCTGGCCCAAATTCCAGGAGCGAATCTACAGCTTGAGAAAGGTAGAGCATTTTTGCGTAAATTAATATTCGCGGTATTTAACTGACATGTTTATATATATCTAATTTTGAAGACGTTAACACGCTGCAATATACTTGTGTTTTATATCATATGAAAGAGCGTGTTCCAAGGATTATAAATATGTCTTTATTGTCCTGGCCCAAATTCCAGGAGCGAATCTACAGCTTGGGAAATAGAGCATTTTTTCGTTAATTAATATTCGCGGTATTTAACTGACATGTTTATATATATCTAATTTTGAAGACGTTAACACGCTGCAATATACTTGTGTTTCATATCATCTCAAAGAGCGTGTTCCAAATCCGTCATACAATTTGGCTGGAATCGGTCATAGCGAAAACGGGAAATTGATTTAGCTGGACTACGACGGGTTGAACTTGAATTCACAAGTATTTTAATAACAGAATTACAATTATTGTGGCAGAGAAGTCAAAAAATGAAGTCCTTTAACAAAATATGTGCTGGTTTGAATATAATCAAAGCATTATTTAGAAATATTAAGCACCATGAGGAGATCAGTATGAACTATGAGATATTGTATGCATGGTAAAACGAAGTCTGACAGTTTTCTTGATACATTATCCATGAAAACGTTTTGAGGAATCTTCTGGTTAATGAGTTTGTCAGTAACTTTGTTTGATATCAAAATAAACATTGTAATCATTAATATTTGAAGTAATTGAGTAGCACACAAACTAAAGCAAGACTATTTTGAGCATATCCTAGTTGTTATATATTATTTATATAGTAGAGCTGTTTCTGTTGTAATAAGAAAACTAGAATGTAGAAAAAATATGACTTATACACTCTCTTCAGATTAATCTTGGTTACTGATTAGTATTTGGTTATTTGGTGATTTAGTATAGATCTAGGGGTTTGTACAAATAAATAATTAAAATTAAAAATTTAAACAGTACTATCGGTAACTTATATTTTACAAATATATTATTATCATAACAAGAACCAGGGGCGGATCTAGAGTATGTCAAATCCGTCGCGCGACTGATGTTTGAAATTCAAAAACTACCTATTCATATTAATTAAAAATTCATTAATTATTCTTACTTTATTATCGCATTTACTTCGTGATAAAAATCCAGCTTTATTTATTATTGAAAACTAATGACTAATCCAATGAATATCTCCTTGGTAACCAGATCAGTTGAATTTTAATTGAAAGAAACTAAGCCGACTGATAAGCGGGGTGGCTTGACTGGTTCGACCTATAAAGGAGTCTATGAACGCCAGAAACGCTATTTTATTGGTCAATGGCCAGATCAGTGGACAGTCTGGAATAATCTCGACCAATAATAGGGGTGGCCGGACCTATAAGGGAGTCCAATTGCTATCTTACAATTGGTTCTTTTGAATTTTTGTTTTATTGTGATTGGTTTGACTGATTTCGACTGATAGCCTTCTGAGCTAACATAGTCAAGCATGGTGTCTGGAATGCGATAGATCATCACGTTGTGATTCACTTTAGCGTGGTTTGTAAAATCTGTTTCATTGCATTGATTTGGAAAATCGTTTACAAACTACAATGTTGAATATTGATATGTATGCTGCTGTTCAGACTGCAATTTCGCAAGAGAATGATAAATCTCTGAATGAATTGAAATTGCGTTTGAATGAGGAATATTGTGGGGCGACTAAAATGTCGAGAGAGGAATTCTTATCATTGCTTTTGAAAGACGAAACATCATTGAGCAGAGAATTCTCAGCAGAAATTTACATCCCTAAAATCGTACGTAAGCAACACGAGGACAAAGGAATTGTATGCATGGCCTTAAGGTATCCAAACCATTAATATCAATTTATGCGACTATGAGAAGTGGTTTATGTGATTATGTCTATTGACTGTTGTATAAATTTTAATGAAGCAGATTTCATTTTGTGCAGTGTATACTAAAGATCTATGGCTTGGGCTTTTAATTTTATTATAAATATTGGCATAAATTCAGCGAATAGTGAATTTATATTTGAACTTTGAATTATCTTCTACATGTAAATTTTTGTTGGAGGACTTATAGGAACACGACTTTTTTATTCAATTTAGATCAGAGGTATCTGGCAACTGTCTCTACAGTTCAGTGTCATTGCTTTTGGCAGGTGATAACAGTTTATTGCATATTTTGAGGCAGGTAACATCACTTGAGCTGTTTTTGAATGCTACTTTTTACTGCCAACATCCTTTATTTTCCTCAATTGTTGAACAGCATAAAGAATTCAACAACACCTCAAAGAATATTTTACCTTTGACAGTATCTCAAGACTGTCTAGATTCTGGTTTTGTAGGTGTTGATCTTGTCAAAAAGGAGGCCTTTTTGAATTGTCATGACCAAAAGTGGTCATCGTTTCTATGCATTTCAGCACTTTCTTCTGTGTTGGAGACAAAAATTTTTACTTACTACCCAGATTGTGGAGAGAGAAGGCCTAAATCAATATTCGACTCTCTTGTTTGTCCAAGAAGAATAGTTAAAGAATCAGCCGATGCAATTCATCTTTTGTTTTGTTATAAAGGGATAGTTACATCAGATCAATGTTTCCAACCTAATCATTTTGTTCCTCTAGTTTTTTTTCCTAGCAAAACTAAAAGGACAATTTCTGGTCCAACATGCCCAATGCCTACAAAAAAAGCAAAAGCTGAAAAAAAGTCTGGGAATATCAGTAAGTTTTTTTCAAAAATGGAAAAACCAGAAATCATTACAAGTGAGGTTTCTTGTACTAGGGTTACTGAACAAACCATTGAAGATTTACAGGTAAAGCCTAACTTTATTCACAATTTTGATGTAGCTACCTACTACAAAAGAGCTAAAGGTTTGAAAATGTCAGATATTTGTTTGCTTATTAAAAATGTTTTTAAACCTGATGAAAATTACACTTTTCCTCCTTTGAGTGAGAACAATAGAAGGACTTTTAAATATGAATGGCTCAAAGATTTTACCTGGCTGTGTTATTCACCAAAAGAAGATGGTGCTTATTGCTTATCATGTGTTCTTTTTGGACATCAATTCCCCAGTAAATGCTCGAGAATAAACAATCTATTCGTTCACCTTTTCGTCATTGGAATGATGCTATAGGTACATTTAGGCGACATGCTGGAAATTGTAAGGGGGAAAAAATGGACTACGTGCATCTACTTCTCCAATTTTGAATAATATATGCTTTCAAATGTCAGGTGTAGCTCAACCCATTGAAAATATCTTAGATACTAACATAAAACTTGAAATTGAGCAAAATAGGAGAATTCTTTAACAAATTGTTGATACAGTTCTTTTTTGTGGAAGGCTTGGCATTGGATTACGAGGTCATCGCGACGATGCTCAATTTCACCCTGAGGTCGGTTGCTATTCAGTCATTGCTAAATTGTAACAACAATTTAGATTATGATGTTACATATCCATATGCATACATCAGGACTCAAGTCTGGAAGGACTGAAGCTCTGTGACGACAATTAAAGTTTTCTGCTTGACGTCGTTTGTAACTTTCTTCGTCTCTTCTCAATTTTGCCGTATCAGCAAGCTTTGGAGTTAACTTTTCGGATATTACTGGTAGATTAGAACGTAATTTCCTCCCCATTAATAATTCTGCTGGTGAGTACCCGTTCTGCAATAGTGATAATCTGTATGCAAGTAAACCTGAATAAGGATCTTCGGATTTTATGATTAAGTTCTTTGCAGTCTTTACAGCTCTTTCTGCTTCTCCATTACTTTGAGGATAGCGAGGACTACTTGTTAAATGTGTAAATCCCCATTCTTCAGCAAATTTGGAAAAAATAGCTGCAGCATACTGTGGACCATTATCCGACACAACTGTTTCTGGTATACCATGACGAGAAAATATGGATTTCATATGATTGATAACATCTTCAGCAGTTGTGCTTTTTTTCAAAGGAGCAATTTCAAAATATCTAGAATAATAATCAACTACAAGCACATAATTTTTTCCGCTATGTACAAACAAGTCTGTAGCAACTTTCTGCCACGGTCGTTGAGGAAAACACGTTGTTAGTAACGGCTCTGCATGATTTTCTCTGTATTTACAACAAATGGAACAATCAGTAACCATGTTTTCAATGTGCTTACTTAGTCCCGGCCACTAAACAGATTCTCTTGCTCTTTCACGACACTTACGGATGCCTTGATGGCCAGCATGAATCTTTTCTAGAATATCTAATCGTAGCGATGATGGAATTATCAAGCGGGAGTCTTTCATTAACATTCCTTTCTGCATTGTAATTGTTGCTCTTTCAAAGTAATAAGGTAACAAGGTACTAGTAATTCGATTTCGGTCCGGCCAACCTTCCGAACAAAATTCCACAAGTTTCGTACAAACCGGATCTTCTTGTTGGTGTCGGCGAATTTCTTCTAGCCTTCTCTCACTAGCTGGTATGTTTTGAACAATCTGTGCAACATAAATGTTGAAATCTTGGGATAAATTGTTATCAGATTTTGTAGGTTGTCTCATAATAGGAGCTCGAGACAATGCATCCGCTACAAACAACTCTTTTCCTGGTATGTGACGAATAGTAAACGAATATTTCATCAGCCTCATCTTGAATCTCTGTATTCTTGGAGGAAGTTGGTCTAATATCTTCGAGCCAAGCAGAGGAACCAAGGGTTTATGATCAGTTTCTATCACAAAATCCATTCCTAAAATATAATCATTAAATTTCTCACAAGCCCAAGTTGTCGCCAATGCTTCCTTTTCAATCTGAGCATATCGTTCTTCGGTAGTTGTCATTGATCTTGACGCATAAGCGACTGGTTTCTTTTCTCCTTTCTTATTTAATTGCCAAAGAACTTCTCCTATACCATACGACGATGCGTCGGCTGCCAAAACAGTTCGCTTCGTTGGGTCATAATAGGCTAAAACTGGTACAGAACTTAATTCGGTTTTCATCTCTTCAAAAGCTTTTTGTTGAGCACCTCCCCACTGAAATTCATTCTTTGTACTCAATAGATCTCTAATAGGTTTTGTTTTTTCAGACAAATTTGGAATGAATTTTCCCAATTGATTAACCATTCCCAAAAATCTTCGCACATCACTCACATTTGTGGCACTTCCATACCTGGTACTGCTTCAATCTTTTCTGGGTCTACTTGAATTCCATCTTCACTCACTATATTACCTGCAAACTTTACAATCTTCTTAGCAAACTCACACTTCTCAGGATTTAGTGTTATTCCAGCATTATCAAATTTTTTCAGCACAACTTTCAGTCTACTGTCGTGTTCATTTTTTGTCTTTCCATGAACAAGTACGTCGTCAATTATGCTTACTGATATATTGATACTAAAGATCATCGATTGATACTAAAGATCATCGATTTTTTGTGCACTCTCCAGATTTTGGATATATTTTAGACAATACGAATATCTACAATATGGCCAAGTTTAAAAAAATTCTACCGTGTAGTTTTTTATTAACAGGCCTTTGTTTGCAAAGATACCTGGATATAGGAAGTTAATTATATAATATTATATTACGCGTATTCGTGTCATCCGATTTGTAGATGATTTTCTACAACTTATTTTTTTGTGCACTCCCCAGATTTTGGATATATTTTAGACGATACGAATATCTACAATATGGCCAAGTTTAAAAAAATTCTACCGTGTAGTTTTTTATTTACAGGCCTTTGTTTGCAAAGATACCTGGATATAGGAAGTTAATTATATAATATTATATTACGCGTATTCGTGTCATCCGACTTTGCCGATGATTTTCTACAACTTATTTTTTTGTGCACTCTCCAGATTTTGGATATATTTCAGGCAATAAAAATATCTACAATATGGCCAAGTTTAAAAAAATTCTACCGTGTAGTTTTTAAGTTATACGCTAATTAAGAGAAATGGAAAGTACACTGTAATATAAATCCTAGTGTTTTCTTCAATTTCTTGACTTTTATACATTTTTTGTGATGGTTAAAGACAGTAAAATAATAATAAACAGTTAAGAATTGTTTTTACTGTTGTATTTGATGGATAACGTGTTTTAAAGACGATTTTTCGATTTATCATTTTGAATGATATCTTTTAGTTGAAAGTGGTGTTGAATGTTGTGATGAATGTTGTGTTGAATGTTGTGCGCAATGTGGTGCCAATTTCACGGTAGTCAACCATTGAGTTCTATAATAACTGGAGGGGAAACAAAATTAGTATAAATTATTAGCGCGCGGCCGCGTGGTCAAAAACAGTGCTTAATTGCGTCATCATTATCTCGATCTTAAGTACGTAGATCTAATGTCCTTTACTTAAGAACGTCTTTGGAGCGAAAACAGACCTTCAATGAATGTAAATATGATGAATATTTAATATCTAGATTGCTTATACAAACAACGACTAACCCTTCATTTGGCGTTTGTCGACATGTACACTTTGGTGATAATACGGGGCTTTGTACAACCAAAGCATTCACCCTGGACTTCTGTCTTTGCTGTTTCTCGGTAGCATCATCATTTTCAGCAAGTACACCGTTTTGTGACTGCGTTGATAAAAGTATGGGACGGTTGCGTCTTAACTGGCTGGTTGGTGAAAGAAAATCAATTGGCGTTGAAGGTGATGTAACGGACAGTTGTGATCTTCTTATTAACGTTGGGGTTGATACAGAGGATGTACCCATGATAATGAAACACAATCTTGGATAAAAAGACTTCACCGTTCTCTATAATCACGTACAGTTGACGATGGACATTTTGAAATATTTCGTACTTGGCGCCATCTTCGAATGTAATTTAAGTGAACAATTTGTTTTCGATAGTTTACGATGAACCACGACAGTCCCCGAATTAAAACAAAACAAAGAAAAGGTCAAAAGCCGTGATTAAACCATTAAAACTTGAAAACGAAAACAAGAAATTAATAACTACCACCGTTAATTCTATACTATCATAAATAATTACAATTTTCTATTGAATTTAAAGCACATAAATAAAATCATTGACCAAAATCACATTAAATTCATCAAACAACTTTATCAATAATTCTAAATTTTCTATGTACAGCTGTCCTGCAATATGATTATCATTTAGCACAGCACAAGTTGAAATGAGGGATATTTCAAAGGCAATAATTAGTTTAGCAAGCGTCTAAGTTCGCAGAACGATGCTCGCGTCAATAACTTCATAGCAATATCAAGGAAACAGGCATATGTACATTGTCAAACAGTTTTGTTAATTTGCACAAGCAGAGGATGCATGAGTTAAGGTTGAGGATAATACTTGCTAGTCACATGTGCTACCTCAGCACACTTGTCGTTATAGATGTCGTTCCAGAAGTGTTGGAAGCTGTACGTAGAGTTCTAGTTGTTGATTGACTTGAATCATTACAGTTAAGAAGTAATGATTTCGTCCGCCCTTGTCATTTTGTTGTTTCATCTTCGTGTTCCGTTTCATCTCGATTTCAAACTTCCTTTTGTGATGGAGTAAATGGAAGATATCTTCATTGCAGCGTTTTCTGTTTTCAGTAAATTCTAAAGCCGAATCAAAACAGACAAAAGTTGCTAAATTAATTCGACATTACAAAGAATGACTAACCCTTTAGAAGAAATACATGCAGGCAGCTCTTGTCCTAGAGGTTTACTTCTGCTTACTTTTCTTACGTTTTCGTGAGTACATAAAATTGTAAGTAGCTTTGCAACGCTGAGGAAAATTTCCTTTTTCTCGCGAAAAATACACGCGAGTTCAAGTATGGTTTCCAATGCATTTTCTTCTTTTAAAACCACGGCATCCTGGGTGGCTGGACACTAAAAATGTATTGCGCATATAGTTTATAGTCAAATTAAGAATGCCAAAGTGGCATTAAAAAAAAAACATGGATTGTTTCGTGTTTTTATCAAAATGGTTTCTAATTGGATACATGATTACTTTAGCAAAAGTGTTTTGGTTTTTGCTTCAAGTCAGATATTAGAATAATGATAAAAAATTAGGTGCAACCATTATTTATGAAAGTGGCAATATCTTCACAGAAAATACTACAGTTTCTCAGTCATTTATCAATAACAACCAACAACTATGGTGGAAAAACAATGCAGAAAGCATGAAGTTTTGTTGAGTCACAAAACAACTAACAATTAACCATGCAACAATTGGCAAAAACAACAAACTGATTACACTGCCAACGTTCAGTGACAGTAATGTTCAATAAATATCAATGGATCTCAGCCCAAACTCACCTTGGACACATTGGTGAAAATATCTAACGCCTGTTTGATCAATCCCATGTGAGGTAGACTCCTATTTGAGTCTCGGATAATTTGAAAAATAACACGGAGAGCGTTATTCTCAACCAGTTGTTGTGAACACTTGAATGTCCATCTTGTTGCAACCTCTGTCGAGAGAATGGAGTATAAGGGATAACCAATACACAGTAGGACACTTGGGTATATATCTTAGAAAAAAGGATGATCAATATACAGGTGTACAATTGGGTACATATCTTGGTATACGGTATGATCAATATACGTATAGTTTGATACATTTCATAGAATGAGGAATGATCAAATCAATATCCAAAAGGAAATTCGGGTACAAATCTTTTGATGCTGAAAATACGGTTTGGAATGGGAGGAAAAGCAAATGGACAGTATATAAGAATTCGGATAGAACTAAAGGCAATTATGTGATTGTATGGGCGTTGTAATTTGAACAAGATAATGGAGTGAAGATTGCAAAATTAAATAGTGCGACATACCAAGATTAACCAGAGCTTCACGGACCGTTGTTAAATTCTTACAATTTAGTAAATAGTCGAGTGCAGAACGAGTACGATTGCAAAGCTTCATGGACTCGGTGACGTTGGAATTAGCCACAATAATTCGCTCTCTTAGTTTTCTAAACTTCTTCGAGTTGAAGCGCTTTCGAACGTTGTAACCTCGCCACGTTCTCTTTATGGTGAGAAAGGAAAAAATTATTGGAACATGTAGAAATGTAAACTAGAGATCTTGAAAAAACAATTTAGGAAAGAAACGATTGGAACATGCAGAAATCTAAAGAACTTGAAAAACATTTTGCTGAGGGGCTTTGGAAGCTTTCAAAGGTTGCAAATGTCTCATGTTCGTAATGTGATACGTAACACAAGAAACATAAAATAGTAAAAAAATATTTCATCAATATTAGTTACTTTCAATTTTCTTTAGTTGTATTTCATTACATACAAGTGACTTGCATATTTTGTCAAAGTTCACACTATTTAAAATTTCTTTCTTCCTGGTGACCATTGCTTAATTTCAAAATTTTGTACACCAATAAAAACCCAGCATGCAATAGATCATACCGGTTAAAGCAAGAAGCTAAATTTTTGGGTGTCCTTTCTATAAGGTACAGCCACACTGTAAAGGTTTTTGGAAGAGCAGAAAGCTGTATACCCACTTAAGCTGCTTACTGTAGTTCATAGTTACCAAACAGACGGGTTTTATAAAATCATCAACAATCACCAACATACCTGTATATTGATGATTGCTTTCATATTTTTTCGAGCAAACCTTCGAGCTAAAAAACATCTCACAACTGCCTGAATTCTTGTCGCTGACTGGTGCATTATGGTAAGTCGTGTGCGCCATTTCTTTTGGAGAAGACGAATGAAATGCAGAGTTCGTAGATAGAATTTCCTCTGGAGTTTAGCTCGCCACCATCGCTACAATTACAGTAACAAAACAAGTAAAAACTATTTTGAGGGCAATAAACATTAAATTCATGAATTTAAGAAGACTGTTGCGTAAATACCTGTACTATCACCACGCTATCGATCTTAGCTTTCAACAGAGCAATCGCCATGGCTTTACGATATGCTCGTTGTAAACGTATTGCCATGAGATTGATGTGCGTTTTCGTGGCAAACCGTTTGACGACAAGAAAACGATGTCTCTTCTCTTCTCCCGTTTTAAGAGCACGATAATGCTGTTGAATACAAGCTGCTGCCTTCTTCATTTCTTTGTATTTCTTTCGTTGATGTGATCCCCTCCAGAAGGCTTGCAACAATACGGAGGCATTTCTCAGTTGTAAAAATTCCCGCCTTCTTTTGCAAGCCTTAAACCAACTCTGTATAGCAATAACTGAATGTCGCTTCAGCTGGAATGTTTGACGGTCTTTTCTACCAAAACGTTTTGCTCGCACGCGGTTTTGAATAACCAGTGTAGCTTTATGTAGTTGTTTATAAAAACGTCGTGTTTTCTTGCCACGAACATACGCTTGAATGATGTTGGTAGCGTGTTTTATTTTAAGATAACGTATTCTTTGTGTGTGACATCGTACCAAACTCTGAATTAAAACAGCTTTACATTTCAGTTTTAAAAATTCCACTCTCTGTTGCTTTCCAAGAACTCTGGCACGTTCCGCTCGTTGAATAATTATGGCAGCTGTACGCATTGTTTGGTAAGTTTTGCGCGCTCGTTTCACACGGAAACGTGTTTGTGCAATGATTACCGCGTGTCGTAATTTGCAATAGCGTGTTCGCTGTGAGTGCATTCTTATAAGACTTTGAATACGCACAGTACTATTTCGTTTTTCCATGAATTGAATCCGTTCTCCTTTTCCCAACATCCGTGTTCGTTGTGCACGTTGTAACACGATAACAGCTGAACGTGATCTTTGAAACACTTTTCGTGCATGTTTCCCACGCAACATAGCTTGAAGCTTTATAATGGTGTTTCGAGTAAGCATGTAACTCATTTCATCGCGTTTTGCACGAAATAAACTCTGCAGAGAAATGGTGTATTTTTCAGCTTTAAATATGATGTTCTTTCTTCTTTCCACGTATTCTCGCTCTTTCTCTGGTTTGAAGTATTACAATGGCTTTGCGTAGTTTCTCATATCTATTTAAGGCTATTATTCCACGGATAAAGCTCTGAATCTTATGGTAGCTTGTCTTATAAGTTCATACGCCTTCCGTGCTCTATAACCTCGATAGCAACTTTGCATTTTATAGCACTTACTTTCATCTTTAAGAACATCTTTCTTTGTCCGCAACCAATCACAACTGCTCTACGATGACGTTGAACAACCAACGCAGTAGTTTTTAGACTTCTATATCTCTCAAATGCTTGATTCCTTCGAGTTAGAGCTTGGACAAAGATTATGGCATTTTTATCCCCCTATACTCGGTTGCCTGCCGGTGTCCGCGATAGTACGACTGTATCACGATGGCAGAACGAATCCTGGCGACATGCGCTCGAGCTAAGTGACCACGATAGGAAGCTTGTATAAGTACAGAAGATCTTTTCAAAAGAAGATAATGCTGACGAATGCTCTTGGCCGTCATATTAGCACGAAGTCGTTGCTGAAGGAGCAAAGCAGGATTTTTTTTGAGAAGAAACAGTTTCCAAAATTTTGTTGACCAAACGACGTTGTCTGTACCTACGGTAACCATGTTGAATTATAATACAAGATCTTTTCACTTTTTTATAGTGATCTCGTTCCTTCTTGCCAAGTATTTTTGCTCTGTAACAAGTCTCGATGAAAATTGCCGTTTTTCTCAAGGCGAGGTATCTTTTACGGTTCACCCACAAACGGAAATAACATTGTATCCGTACAACACATGCACGTTGATATAAATACCTTTGTCTTGCAACATGCATCTTCCAGTAACTTTGAATACGTGTAGCAGTGCGTTGTCGTTGAATTTTGCGACGTGCTAACCAGCCACGTTTGAACGCCTGCATGGTCACGATCGCACTCCTTGTTTTAAGGAACATCCTCCGTTCCACTTTGGCCCAACAACTTGCTCTATAATATAACTGGATTGTTCCAATCGCTTCGCGCATGCTCTGATATCGTTTTCTGCATAACCATCTTCTTACATTAGCCTGAATGGTAATACAAGCACCTCGTTGTAGATGATATCTTTTTTTAATCATCAAACCTTTCTTGTGGGCACGATAACGTTCCTGAATGACAAAGGCAGCTTCACATGTTTTTAGATACTTCTTACGCGCCTGCATGCCACGTACAGCGGATTGAAGAGAAATAATTTTCCTTAGGATATCACTGTAGTTTCTTCTTGCAATAAAACCACGGACCTGTGATTGGAGAAATTTCACTGACCGTCGTTTTCTTTGGTAGTCAATCATCGCTTTTCTGCCCAAAGTTGTGGCTCGTCGCCTTCTTTGAAGTAAGAGAACACAACGAGTCACCCTTAGGTGACGCTTTCGAGTTGAATAACCTCTGTAAGCACTCTCAATTTTGATAGCAGCATCATTCATATTTTCAACTTTTCCTCACCAAATAACCACGTAGAGAAGCTTGTAAAGCGATAATAGCTTGTCGTTTAGTCTGGTACTCCATAGTATGAAGTCGACACAGTTGATTGGCTCGCACCAGTCTCTGAAGGTGTACAACCGTGTTTTTCAAGTGTTCATATTTCTTCTTTGCGATTCTCATACGTAGACAAGTTTGTATTTTCATAACAGCGTTTCTAGACTTATGGTAGCTAATCTTCTGGACGATACCTCTTCAGAATGACTGAATTTTAACTGCAGCTCATTCTCTGTGTGCTATCCTGCGAGCCAGCAGTCCTCTGGTGAAAGACTGAATGGTGATTGCGCATGCTCTCATGTGTTGATATTCCGCTCTTGATTTGCGAGCGTTGAGCAAGGCTCGCCAACGAGTTTGAATAACTTTTACAGAGCTTTTAACACGTTCGCATTGTCTTCTGCATAATCTTCCACGAACAAAACCTTGAAGGCGTACGGTTGTAGTTCGCTTTTGTATGAATTCCTTGCGGGCAATTCGAGACTTGCGGGTTGCACGATACTTTTGTTGTATAACAATGGCCGACACACGCAAAGTTGAGTACATATTTCTCTGTTGATAACCTCTGTACACAGCTTGTATTCTTACTGTAGCATTTCTCAGTCTTCTCATTTCCCTTCTCAATGCCCAGCCACGTGTGTGCTTCTGCATGGTCACGATTGCATCACGTGTTAAATTATATTCGTTTTTAATCCGATGACCTAGATTCCATGCACGATACCGTCTCTGTAGAATGATGGCACTTTCCTTCAAACATACATATCGAGACCGTGTGACGTAACTGCGAAACGAAGATTGTATGAGAACGGCTGCAAGGACTTTCTGTCTAAGTTCTTGACGAAAGCGATGACCGCGTACAACAGCCTGGAGTTTGATGATTGATCTACGGGTATCTAAGTATTGAGCACGAGCGATGAGCATTTCTCGAAATGCACGATAACGCATTTGCAGAACAACTGCAGCAAATCTCATTTTTAAGTATTGTCTTTTCATGATATAACCACGAACTCTGGATTGGATAAGAAAGATACAAGTCCTCTGTTTACTATAGTTCATACGAACTTGATATCCTTTCCATAATGCTTGAAGTTTGATTATGGCGTTTCTAGTGTTCTTGTATTTTTCTTGAACATCTTTTGACAATACATAAGCTCGATAATGGCATTGCAGGACTCGTGAAGCATCATCCCTTTGTTGCAGTTTTGCCATCAACTTCTCTCTGTAACGTTTCTGCAGAAAGAAAACGCTCGCTTTCAGATTTCGATAATGTCGTTGAACGATATATTTTCTCACTTCAGACTGGATAACCAATGCAGCCTGTTTCTGCGCTAAAAATTCGCGCCTTGTTAGATAGCTAAGCCATCGAGACTGAATAATTCGTGCCGCTTTTATTCGTGCCGCTTTCTGTTTTCTTTGCAACGAGATAGGACAGGTAGCATGTCCGGATGATATTTACAGCCTGGTGTCGACGATGGAGATTACGTTTTACAAGAAAACCACGAACGTATGCTTGGATTATTCTAGCCGAATTGAAAATGAGAACTTTCTGTTTTCTTTGCATCATCAACCTGGCATGTTTCTAAAATGACACTATCAAAATTATAAAATAAACCTGTATAGAACACAGCACTAACTCGTACCTACCTGGAAAGCACAGGCAGCATAATTCCTTCGCTAAAACACGAAAAAAAAGAAGAAAAATTTCTTAGACTTGAACAATGAGTCCCGAGTTGCAACTCGTCAATTCTGCATCATCCTCTTTCGATGCGGGAGACTTGAAATGAGGAAAAATTAAATGTACGTAAGAAATATGTCCTCCAAATGCAATAACCAATAACACTAGAATGCTGTCTGGTGATATCGCAGGGTTTGAACCTCAAGTCATAGATTATAATATTTTAGGGGTATTCACTTTTTTGTGGTGGAGGGCTATTCGCATTTGGGGGGTAGGGTATTCACTTTTTTGTGGTGGAGGGCTATTCGCATTTGGGGGGAGGGTGTTCACTTTTTTGTGGTGATGGCTATTCACATTTGGGGGGGAGGAGTTTTCATATTTTTTAGGGGGATAGGTATTCCTTTTTTTAGGGGAGGGTATTCACTTTTTGGGGGAGGGTATGAACCTTTTTTGGGGGGTGGTATTGACATTTGGGGAGAAGTACTCACATTTTTGGGGCGAGGGGCATACACATTTGTTTAACAACAATCTGATGTTTCTGTTCAAAGTGCGAATATGAATGCACCTAAAAATAACGCGAACGACAAAATTAGCACTTACAATTGCCTTTTCCTTCTCATCATAAAATACACCTTTCTTTAACGGGACTGAAGATGTTTGTTGACTTGTATTCCACAGTTCCTGGTATGGATACACGCAAATTTTTATCGAGTTAATCCCTCAAAAATAGTGCAATAGCCTTAAAAACAAAGTTAAGCAATGCACACATGTGGGTCCAACAACTATCTAAACTATTCTGCATTTACAAGACGCCCTTCATTACATTGCATGTCACGTGACTGTGCTTATTGAGAAAAGTGAAGTCCAAAAGATCGTGCACCGAAAACCATTTTTGCTGTGAATACTTTATCCTCAAAAACTCTTTAAAACAATTTTCTGACCGGTACACATTCCACCCAACCGATAATTCAACACGCTTGTAACTTTTCTGTTTTACATAAATAGGTTAGCGATATTTTCGACGATGTAACTTTTATTTCGTCTTTAAGTGAGGATTAACGCTTCATTTTATGCGACTATATATCGATAATTATACAACATCACGAAGTAGAAAATGCTATAAATTTTCGATCGCAATGCACTGAGCGAGCGACGTATCAAATACAGCAAAAATATAACAATCTTAATAACTCAAATGACAAATTGCATTTTAATTTAAGTTCGCAGAAAATTTTTGGCCTTGCTTTCGCTTTGAATAATTCTCAAGCACGAACATCAGTTATTTATCAGCGCATGCGCAGAAGATATCACAAATATTCAAACGGTCATTACGTTTTGAAAAATAATTGATTTGTAATCTTTACACAAACAACCAATCAGAAAGTTTAAGATAATTTTGAAACCGCACAAAATTCATAAACCGTTTACTGTCAAAGAAACGATCAATACATGAAATTAAATATCCTTTTTGAAGGAAATGATCACCCCTTTACTTCCAAAATTTTTGATGGTTTCCTTCATGTTGCCTTCATACGGCAACACTGAGAGAGAAAGATTGAGAAGACTTAAAATAATTGAAATAGAATTGAACATCGTAAAGGCTCATATTACGAATTAAAAATGAAAGATGAATTTCTTTCACGCAAGAGTGAAAGAAACATGCTCCCTTGTGAAGAGAGTCCAAACGACTTTGTCGTAATATTAACATTTATGGTCCATTTCTCCAAGATTCTTGAAGAAAGTAAGTAAATGTTTAATAAATATAAATATATAGATTTATATAAATAACACCACGTAATGTAATAGTAGTAATACTAAATACATACTGAAGAAATGGTGTGTAACACAAGTTAAAGTGGATGTAAAATCAATAAACGTTTAATAAATATAAATATTTATTTATAGTATATATAAATAACACCACGTAATGTAATAGTAGTAATACTAAATACATACTGAAGAAATGGTGTGTAACACAAGTTAAAGTGGATGTAAAATCAATAAACGTTTAATAAATATAAATATTTATTTATAGTATATATAAATAACACCATGTAATGTAATAGTAGTAATACTAAATACATAACTCTTGAAATGAGCATATTAATAGATGACACTGTCATCCCTATATGCTTTCCGCGTGCTAAATCTATTATCACAATATTTAAGAAAAAAATATTGTATTTTGCTAACCAAGAAAACGTCTGAAAACAGCCCAGCATGATGGAAATGCTGTCGGTAAGCAATGATAAAGACGTCTTAGTGAATTGCATGCAACGCTTGTGTCGATGTTTTTCTTTAATTTACTAAGAACGTTTTCCATACAGTACATTTATCGAGGCAACTTTCAAACACTGAAGCATTTTCTTTTTTGTGTATGTTTTAGGAAGATGATGATTTGCCGAACAAATTAACCCGCACCACCTATCCACGAGTTTTAGTTACTTGTGAACACATACTGAAGCCTGGCCGGCTGCTATTGTGCGTCGAAGGACGACAACTCGTTGACGCGACTTCATTTTCTTCAGACACAGTTGTTTTTACGCTCTATGCAACGTACTGTGTATTTTTTATAGCTTATCCACAACATCATAAGGATGTATATCTTTTTATTGATTCCGTTTTTGTTGGGTTGCAGTACAATGCTTCCAATTGAATTAGCTTGCAAAAATTTATTAAAGCTCTTGCCAGAGTTTAAAGTAAGCATTAAGTGGACATTTAAACCATTACACTGGACATTTAGACCATTTTTTTTGTTACAGTGTACGCATGTTTTATGTTGGCGTAGCTAGCTCATGTGAGCTATGGTTTCTAGGGTCATATGAGTTTTAAGTGAGCGCTATTATTCATTTGTGCCAGTTCTACTTTACATTGAATTTAATTAATTAGTTTTAGGAATTATTACATATGAATATATGAATCCCCCCCCCTCCCAATTATCTATGTTCTGCCAATGGTAGATTATTTATGTTTGCCAATGCTATATCAATGGTTGAGTAGTTATGTTTGCATGTTGAACCTCGTTAGTTTTCCTTGAATGAAATCTTTTTTGTTGATAATAACGCGCATTTTTAATATTTTCCACTCTTCACTCCATTTTCGAGATAGCTACGCTCATTCCTTTTCTGTTGAAATAAAGAGATTGTTGTTTGATCTATTTTAATTTATTCTTATTATAGATTCAGAGTTCGTTTTAACACCATTGAAGCATTACCTCCTGTATTTTCACATGTGCCTTAAAAAATGCAGCATTCTGTGTAGTTTCCTCTTACCTCAAATTTATGGAGGAATTGCATGTCCATGAAAATCACCCCTTTAAAAGTTACCCCCATAAATTTTACCCCTTGATAAATTTTACCCTATAATAGAATTTACCCCTAACTAAGTATTAGCACCGAAAATTTTACCCTTAAATAAAAATTACCCCTATAAAATGTTACCCTTCAAAACCGGGGCACTCTGTGGCACTCATTTCACCCATAACTTCAAGGGTAATTTTTACCCCCCCAAATTTGCAATGTATCGCAGCCTTTATTGTCTTTTTGATGGTACGCATAAATCTTTCCACTTCCCCGTTGGCTCGTGGCCAATAAGGAGTAACTTTTCTGTGTTTAAATCCCAAATACTTTGAAAACTCGTAAAATTCCTTGCTATTGAATGGCGGTCCATTATCTGAACGTATCGTATCTGGTATCCCGAACTCCGAAAAAGTCTTATCCAATCAAGGTATAACAGTCTTTGCGGACGTTGATCGGATTATTTCTACAATGGGATATCTGGAAAATTCATCATAAAGAACAAACAAATATTCACCTGTGCCTGTAGGAGCTACACCAAAGTCCATACTTAGCTCTTTACAAGGAGATCTTGGCAACTCTGACATTTTCAATGCCTCCTTTTCACTGACTGGAGTTGTAATCTGACAGGCTAAACACGATTTAACTTTTCCATTAACTAACTCATCTATACGTGGAAACAATACCTTTTCACGTTTTCGTTTTTGACATTCCCATATGACCTTCATGAGCAATGTTCACAACTTTCTCTCGTAAACTTTCTGGTATGATTATTTGATGTTTTCGTAGAATTATACCCGAAGATATGCAAAGTTCATCTTTAAGTTTCTCATATGAACTGAATTCTGCTTGATTTACTCCTACCATCTTTGAACTCTCAAACCATCTACTTGTTTCAATGGCTTGAATTACTGCTCGAAGAGTAATGTCTTCTCTTGTAGCTTCTTCCAGATCTTTCCTGCTGATTGTTTTTGGAACCGAGTTCTGTGTAACGTAATTAACAAATTCTTCTGCTACTTTCTCTTGCCGGTTGTTTAGTTTCTCATCAGATAAGGGATGACGTGAGAGAAAATCTGCAGGATATTCAGTTCCAGGTTGAAAACAGATTTCAAAATCATATGGTTGCAATCGCAAAGCCCATCGTTCTGGACATGCAGCAGTGAACAGTATGTACTCCTAGGAATCCATTGTAGACAATAAATATTCCCATAAATTCACATCTGTACCTGTTTAAAACTCCATTTGAAATATACACTTCTTTTGGATGAAAGTATTTATAGTAAGATGTACGTATAACTGAATCTATAAATAACATGTTTCATAAATTGAAATGGTGATCACATGAAATGATGATTAAAATCACAGAAACCAATCTTATATCCTCACCACAATTAACCATGATTCCAAAATCTTCAAGTAAAAAATTGATATTTGTACCAAAGTGTACCTCACCACCCTCTCCCAGTAAAACAAGAATACTTCCACCTTTCTCGAGATATGATTTCATTGCTTCAAACTACAAGATGTTAATATGTATAACAGAAGATTAAAAAATTAATTAATGTTTCAAGACACAATGCTTGCTTTGTTTTAAAATGCAATATTGTTAACCTTTTCTTACAAGCATTGAGCTTGTATAAGTTTGCAAGCCTGTTTTCATGGGCATTTAGTCCTTATATAATGAGGGGGGGGGGCTAAGTATGAAGGAGGGGACAAATACATGTATTTTATTACATTGTAGTGATTGTCAAATTATACACTATTATACATACAAGCCTACATGCAAGTGATCTTTTCGGTTGAATTAGTTACAGTGGTTTAATGTGAAAATTGTGGTCGGTTTCTTTATAGAAAAACATATGCATGAAGTACCACAAATTATATTTCAGCTGTCTGGAACATCTAGCATGTTTAGCTGTATTTCTACTGAAGAATAAACGTTTAAGATATGAAATGTTTTCAAGAATGATATGAACATCACACAAAAACTGTCAAGCAAAATAAAAAATGAGATTTGTGATGAGAAAATGTGTAAGTAAAACGCTGATGTACAGCAAGTGAAAAACCCAATAACACATGCACTCATACATATCCTCTAAACTTACTTCACTTGCTGATATTTTTTCTCTTGGTCCAGCAAGAACAAACAGATTGGCATACAACAATCTCTCCAAGGTTATTTCATCCTTATTTCTGTAAAAATACATCATTTAATCAGTGTTTTCACATCATATTTGTCTTAAACCTTTCTGAAACAGGTATCACAAACATACATGATAACTTTCCAATTATTTCTGAGTTTCCTCACAAGATTTCTAAAGCCACTGGATGGAGTAAAGAGCTCTATCTTTGATGCATTGAAAACTATAGTGTTATTTTGACCATAATTGTCCTCCGTTCGCTTGCATAATCAAATGTTAAAGTCAAAAAACAAAACTACATTAATCAAGGAACTTAGTATGTGTTATCTACATCGATCTTTACGCATTTTTTGTTTAGGAACAAAGAGATTACTAAGATACACACTACTATAGGCTGTGGCACAATGAAACGAAATTCCGTTAAATTGCTTTGTTTATCTACCATTAGCAACAAGCAACAGCACCACAAACTTTTAATTACAAAATGACTCAATTTCCACAATTCCTCGCACAATATATAGAAGTGATCGAGTCAACTTTCACTCTTGCCGTTTTAACTAAATTCTATTGAAATATAAACAGAAAAAGTGAATAAACTGATATGTTTACCTGCTCCGAATTTGTAGCGATAGGAGCCATACTTTATTTAAAATAAATATGTCCCCTCCGGTAATAATTTTATACGTTAAGGTATCAGGGGGGCGATTGCTCGGGATAAGTTGATGGTGTTACATGTAAACTTCCTATTCACTTCTTACTGAATATGGCATAAAGTAAGCCGAAACATGTTTGCATTAAAGAATTTGTCGTATACTTTAAATGACTTATGACTATTGTGCTACTATGAAATTATGGAAAGAATAATTTTCTCTCACAATTTATTAATAAATTGAAAAGTTTTCTGAAGAGCTTTGCTATAATGGATTTTCTCAGCTCAAGAGTGATGGGATGTACTATTTTGTGTCACAAGATATGTAAAATGATTTGATTTCTTGACTTGATCACATCATACAAGATAAAATTTTGAAGGAGTTAGACTACGGGTTGATGAGACAACTGATGTTTCCACTGAAAAGCAGAAAGTAATATTCACATGAATAATATGGGGAGTAACATTGAAGTTGGCTTTGATTTGTAGCTGTTAGTTGTTGCAAGACAACTGCAACTGCTATATCAGCCGCATCATAAATTTGTCCAATAAGTGCTTTTGAGTTTTCTATGCTTATTCAACATACTTTTTTTTAATGCTGATAACCAGTTGCAATTCTGTTGCTAGTTCCATGTACAAATCAACGATGTTTCACTTTTTTTCTATGCAAACAATCATAAGTACTTAACTGCTCTTTGTTGGAAACATCCGTTGTCTTATCAACCTGAATATTTACAAAAATGAATCATCCACCAGTTTTAAAATTTGATTATGTTATCAAGATAACCTATAAAATGGTTACATGTTTCAAGTTTGCTCATGTTGTTTATTGTGCTGTCAATAGCCTTAGTATTGTATTGTGACAAACTGCATTCTCAATTTTACCTGCGAATATTTCTTGTGTCCATGTTAGTTTTCTACTTTTTTATAAACAATACTCCAAAGGAAAAGACTTAATCTTCACAGCTTTGTTAATTTAAACAGAATATTGCTTTTTAAAAGCATCTTTTTCGTATATTCCAAGGGCTACTTGAAAATTAACTGCTTGGATAATTGTCATCGTTTTGTGGGTAATAGATGGTCTAAATTTTGAAAATAAGTGTTGGCGCCTCATGATGATTATGGGCATGACCAAACATTTTTTGCTAGCAATGCCACTGATATTATGGATTTAAACACAAACAACAAATATAATATTGCAATGTCATATAACATTTAGGTGCAAACGTCCCCACTAGACAATATCAAACATCCATGAACTTTTCTCGCAAAGAATGGATGAAAACTTTTCAACTAGTCAATTGTATTACTGACAGGCAGGTGCTTGGAACTTCAAGTAAAGGACCACAAGTATAAGCATCAGGCAGACAGTTGACCATTTAAGTCGGTGAATGTGATCTTCAACTCTATTTAGGCAGAACCACAATGGCTCCAGTACAACCAGTAGTAATCTGTAGACATGCAATGACGTCACCTTCAAGAGATTTAATTTGGTCAAGTGGTCTACCATTGCGTGCTCGTTGTCATTTTGTGTAGATGCATGAAGCATTTTAGAAATTTTCTTTGGTGTGGGCTTTTCTTCAAGACAAGAAAATGTTTGAGGTATTCTGCACCTTTGATCTTAAACGATTGTAGTATAGGATTACAGCAGTGGCAATTACTTAGCTGCAAATATTGGATTCTGGGGTTAGGAAATTACTTGGTCATATAACTAAACAGCATATTTTATTTTAACTATGTTGATTAGATCTACTTCACGCAGTAGCTATAAACTTGAAGGCTACCAACATGTACGCATTTCTATAAACTTGAAGGCTACCAACATGCACGCATTTCTATAAACTTGAAGGCTACCAACATGCACGCATTTCTATAAACTTGAAGGCTACCAACATGCACGCATTTCTATAAACTTGAAGGCTACCAACATGCACGCATTTCTATAAACTTGAAGGCTACCAACATGCACGCATTTCTATAAACTTGAAGGCTACCAACATGCACGCATTTCTATAAACTTGAAGGCTACCAACATGCACGCATTTCTATAAACTTGAAGGCTACCAACATGCACGCATTTCTATAAACTTGAAGGCTACCAACATGCACGCATTTCTATAAACTTGAAGGCTACCAACATGCACGCATTTCTATAAACTTGAAGGCTACCAACATGCACGCATTTCTATAAACTTGAAGGCTACCAACATGCACGCATTTCTATAAACTTGAAGGCTACCAACATGCACGCATTTCTATAAACTTGAAGGCTACCAACATGCACGCATTTCTATAAACTTGAAGGCTACCAACATGCACGCATTTCTATAAACTTGAAGGCTACCAACATGCACGCATTTCTATAAACTTGAAGGCTACCAACATGCACGCATTTCTATAAACTTGAAGGCTACCAACATGCACGCATTTCTATAAACTTGAAGGCTACCAACATGCACGCATTTCTATAAACTTGAAGGCTACCAACATGCACGCATTTCTATAAACTTGAAGGCTACCAACATGCACGCATTTCTATAAACTTGAAGGCTACCAACATGCACGCATTTCTATAAACTTGAAGGCTACCAACATGCACGCATTTCTATAAACTTGAAGGCTACCAACATGCACGCATTTCTATAAACTTGAAGGCTACCAACATGCACGCATTTCTATAAACTTGAAGGCTACCAACATGCACGCATTTCTATAAACTTGAAGGCTACCAACATGCACGCATTTCTATAAACTTGAAGGCTACCAACATGCACGCATTTCTATAAACTTGAAGGCTACCAACATGCACGCATTTCTATAAACTTGAAGGCTACCAACATGCACGCATTTCTATAAACTTGAAGGCTACCAACATGCACGCATTTCTATAAACTTGAAGGCTACCAACATGCACGCATTTCTATAAACTTGAAGGCTACCAACATGCACGCATTTCTATAAACTTGAAGGCTACCAACATGCACGCATTTCTATAAACTTGAAGGCTACCAACATGCACGCATTTCTATAAACTTGAAGGCTACCAACATGCACGCATTTCTATAAACTTGAAGGCTACCAACATGCACGCATTTCTATAAACTTGAAGGCTACCAACATGCACGCATTTCTATAAACTTGAAGGCTACCAACATGCACGCATTTCTATAAACTTGAAGGCTACCAACATGCACGCATTTCTATAAACTTGAAGGCTACCAACATGCACGCATTTCTATAAACTTGAAGGCTACCAACATGCACGCATTTCTATAAACTTGAAGGCTACCAACATGCACGCATTTCTATAAACTTGAAGGCTACCAACATGCACGCATTTCTATAAACTTGAAGGCTACCAACATGCACGCATTTCTATAAACTTGAAGGCTACCAACATGCACGCATTTCTATAAACTTGAAGGCTACCAACATGCACGCATTTCTATAAACTTGAAGGCTACCAACATGCACGCATTTCTATAAACTTGAAGGCTACCAACATGCACGCATTTCTATAAACTTGAAGGCTACCAACATGCACGCATTTCTATAAACTTGAAGGCTACCAACATGCACGCATTTCTATAAACTTGAAGGCTACCAACATGCACGCATTTCTATAAACTTGAAGGCTACCAACATGCACGCATTTCTATAAACTTGAAGGCTACCAACATGCACGCATTTCTATAAACTTGAAGGCTACCAACATGCACGCATTTCTATAAACTTGAAGGCTACCAACATGCACGCATTTCTATAAACTTGAAGGCTACCAACATGCACGCATTTCTATAAACTTGAAGGCTACCAACATGCACGCATTTCTATAAACTTGAAGGCTACCAACATGCACGCATTTCTATAAACTTGAAGGCTACCAACATGCACGCATTTCTATAAACTTGAAGGCTACCAACATGCACGCATTTCTATAAACTTGAAGGCTACCAACATGCACGCATTTCTATAAACTTGAAGGCTACCAACATGCACGCATTTCTATAAACTTGAAGGCTACCAACATGCACGCATTTCTATAAACTTGAAGGCTACCAACATGCACGCATTTCTATAAACTTGAAGGCTACCAACATGCACGCATTTCTATAAACTTGAAGGCTACCAACATGCACGCATTTCTATAAACTTGAAGGCTACCAACATGCACGCATTTCTATAAACTTGAAGGCTACCAACATGCACGCATTTCTATAAACTTGAAGGCTACCAACATGCACGCATTTCTATAAACTTGAAGGCTACCAACATGCACGCATTTCTATAAACTTGAAGGCTACCAACATGCACGCATTTCTATAAACTTGAAGGCTACCAACATGCACGCATTTCTATAAACTTGAAGGCTACCAACATGCACGCATTTCTATAAACTTGAAGGC